GGCCGCCTGGCTGTCGGGACGTCTGATTGTGACGCACATCAGTGTGTGTGCGTGCAAAAAAAAAAATGCCCACCGGCCTGATTGACAGCAGTGAATATGACTCACCAAACACACCAACGCACAGGGGCGGGCCAGGAGGCAATGGGGGCCGGCTGAGAGGAGGACGCGGGCGAGGCGGCGGGGCAGGTGACACCCGCCGTCGTGGCCACTAGGAGATCGCCCACATGAGGCGGGCTGGACGTCCGCTTTGTGTTTTGGGACGGTTGTGGGGCGGGAGGGGGGAGGGGAGGGGAGAGGGTATGTGAATGCATTTGTATGGATGAGCTGACTGACTGACCGTTCCTTGACCGTTTGGTTTTCCCAGAGATGTGTCCATCTGGCTGCCATGGTGTCACGCTGGCGAGGTGGCCGGCCAGTGGACACATCTCGACTTCTTGGCTTATTGTGCCTGGCCGCCTGGCTGTCGGGACGTCTGATTGTGACGCACATCAGTGTGTGTGCGTGCGTGTGTGTGTGTGTGTGTGTGCGCCTGATTGACAGCAGTGAATATGACTCACCAAACACACCAACGAGAGAATGACAGCGGGTATGCATCAAATGGGGGAAGGAGGTATTGGGCACTTTGTGTTTTCGGTGGTAAGTGTGGTTGCGAGGGAGGGGAGACACAAGGGAGGAGAGTTATGCGTCTCTTACTATAGCGTGCCTGCGTCTGTTTGAAGGGGGGAGGGGCGTGTGTGGCTGCCATTGTTCGTGAAGCTGAGAGAGAGGGCTTATGTCGGTCGGACAAATGACAATCGAGCGGTTTCCAGAGGTTCAACAACATAATTCAAACTAGGCGCTGATACCGTCATGGAGTTGCATGAATCGTGCGATTGTTTTGGATTGGAAGTTCTTTCACACCGGGTACGCCTCAAGTAGCGATTTACTCGCACATGCATCTGTCCAGGTATACGTCCATCTCATCAACAGCTAGATGGATCGATCCGCTCACTCACTCGCCGCCTGCGCCTCTGTACAGGTATGTCTCTGGCAGCACCGGGGAGTTGGGCGTGGTGTACATGCCCCGGTGTCCTCCGCTGGACACAGCCACACTGAGCCCTCCCGCTGGCGAGGCCTCCTGCTCATCCGGCGGCTCATCGCGATCACGCCCTCCAAACAAGCCTCCTCGGGCGGACGAGCGCCACGTGAATGCACCGCCTGTCCCGCCCTCACTCCCTGCATAGGCCACATACATACAGACAGACAGAGATGGATAAGGAGGGCAATGGCATCGCCAGGATGTCCAAAGAGCTACCGCTCTCCAAGGTGCCGAAACTGATCACGTTGTACTCAGGGAGATCGCCGGACTTGTAGAGTATGCCCCGGAGGAGACACAGCCCCAAGGGCGTCACAAGCGCAATACAACTATAGGAAACAGAGGACACACACAGACAGAGACACTGACAGTCGGCCGCGGCTTCATGTTCTGTGTCTCCGTGTGGACACGTACCCAATAATGAACCACATTAGTTGTGAGTTGCGGGGGCCTTTGGCGGGACAAAATGTCGCTAAAAGATGCCCTGCAGATGAGCAAAGGAGACAAAATATGAGCACGGTTATCATGTGATTATTTCGTGGCCTTTATGTTATGACCTGATATGCCTCCAGTGACGAGTTTGGCCACGAACCGAGGCGCAGACATAAGCCCTACGTATGTGCCCTCTCTGCCCAGCGGTGCGACAATGACGCTGTATTCCTGGAACCGTGGGTGCCACAGCAGCTCTCCGAGCGTCAGGACGACAATCGCCACCACGGTGAGGGGCACGGTGGTGCCCAGCGACATCGCAAACACAGAGAACGAACTGATCCAACAACCAACCTTAGAAATAAGAGAGAGAGAGAGAGAGAGAGAGAGCATGAGTTCAGGCGTGATGTAAGGCCAGCGTCTGTCTGACCAATATCGAGTCGTAGACGGAGAAGAGGTGCAGATAGGAGCTGCTGATCCATGCCAGACAGAGGATCATCTGACCAAGTCGCATAGACACCGTGATGCGTGACGCCAGCCGATGGATTGGAAGATTTCCGAGCTCACCAAGGGATTGATGGACACAATGAGCTCGAATGGAGCATCCGAGTGAAACTCTCGCACAAAGTACCTGCCACGTCAGCAACCAGGACATATAGAGTCTCCTTCTCTTGCTCTTCCGTGTCTCGTGCTTTGTTACTTTGGGAACGTTGCGCCCATGTGTCTGAGGAGGCCGGAGCTGCCGAGCGACACCAGGCAGGCAACCGCTGCAAACCTCCAGAACTTGGCGTCGCGGAAGGCCTCGTTGACTATTTCGCTGACCGACCCCCTCCTGAATGGCACATACAACCTCATTGGTATCATCGCCGCACTGTCCCTTATCATCGCTGCACTGTCCCTTCTCACGCGTGTGCATACCTGGGCAAGAAAGGCTTTGTCAGTTGTGTATTCTCGTCGATCATGACGTCCCTCAATGTGAAGGCCGCAAGCACCTGCACAAAGGTCCCCAAGGCGCCAACGAAGAGATACAGCCGCCAGCAGCATATCGGCAGCTGAAGGAGAGGACTCGCCGTCAGCAGGCTCCGCGTAGTGGTGAGGAAGAGGCCGGCCAGTAGGGCCGCCAGATTAGTCGTGATATAGGCCAGGCCGAATGCAAATGTCCTCGATCTCTCCACTGTATAGCGCCGGAGGGCCAGCTTGCACACCGGGATGGTCATGGCCGCCCCAACGGGCAGGCCACCCAGCAGGAAGGACAGCAGCACCGCTCTGTTGCCTGTGAGGGCGATGGCGAAGCGGCTGAGCACCTCGATGCTGCTGCCGATGAGGAGCGAGTTGCGCACGCCGATGTTGTCGACGATTGAGCCGAAGAGGACACACATGAGGGTAATGAGCATGCCGTAGGCACCATACAGCCAACCGGCGGCCTCATCACTGAATGCAAACTCCTCAGTCTGACCACACACAGACCACACACTCCTCGCCATGCGCTTCATCTGAATGTGCGCAGGGATGATTGATGTGTAGATGCAGATACCAGGTAGATGACCAGGACGAGATCCAGCCCCTGCATGGCAAATGCATCGAAGAAGTCGATGAGATAGAGCGTTGGCAGCTCACGGGGCGACTGCGCCACCAGATGAAAGGCACCGCCCTCCATTGAGGGAACGCCTCAACCCGAAGTGTGCATCTCACCACACCGCCTTGGCCACACGATGAGGATCCAAAGACTGCCATTGCCGAATTTACTTTACAAACAGGGGCCGCGATGCGATGATTTTCCCATTGGCCGCCTTCTCCGCCCTCCTGCCGCTCGCTGCACTGCAGGAAGTGCACAAGAAATCCCCAGCGACAGATTCCTCTCTCGTTGGGGATGACTTGTGCACTTCCTCAATATGCCTGTCTGAGTTTGATGGCCACGATGAAGGGCCCGGCCTGCGAGAGCTGCACTACTTCCTCACTCAGCCGCACATCCAGCGGACACGCCATCCTTTCACCATTGACAAAGTGGAGAGGTTGCGGCAGATGGGCCTTGATCTGTTCAGCAACACGCTGATGCTCCTCGGTTGCAGCAGGAGCCAGGATGCTGCCTGTCCAAGCCCTCTCCCTCTGTTGGAGTCGGTGCAGGAACGCCTGAAGGGGTTCTTTTCTGTTTCCATGGACGGCGACAGCAGTTCCCTCCCGATGGACGGCTCCCGCAGCACTCTTATTCAGCACCTCTGGAGGCTGCGCAGCGATCTCTCACGGCCCCAGCAGGACATATCGGTCGCAGCCCAGCTGGCCAGCCGGGATGCATCCCTTTTTGGCTCAGCGGCTGAGATCCTCTTGCACGCGGTCGGTCTTGTGGCCCAGCGTCTTCACTTTCTCACGTGGCAAATCGAGATGCAGGCGTGGCTGCAGAAGAGCAGTGCCGAGTATGACGGCTCTCCCAACTTCAACCTAGACACGGCATACGGCACGAGAAGGGAGGTGGTCGAGTTGTTGCTGAGGCGGATGGAGAGGAGCGGCGTTGAGAGGCCAGCTGTCCTGGAGCTCGGCGTGTACGAGGGAGAGCTAGCCTTCCATCTGCTGCGGGCGTTCCCCAACATGAGCTATGTCGGTGGGTATCGGCAATGGCAGGATTGGCACCATTCATTCATTTCCACTTTGTTTGTTTGCATGTGCAGGTGTGGATGCGTATTTCAACGATGAGTTCGCCCCTGGTTCGCCCCAGAATCAGCTCTTTGAGCTTGTCCATCAGCACGTCGCCAAACGGATGGAAGGTAGGTGGCAAAGCGCACGGCAGCCCTCGCCAATTCCTGCGTGTCTATCTCTCTCCCTCTCTGCAGATTACCAGGACAGAGCCATCTTACTGAAGCTGTCCTCCGAAGAGGCCTTGAAGGTACGCCCCACCAACACACTAGTGGCAGGGATGGAGGAATGCCTTTTTGTCGTGTTTCTTTCTCGTGTCAGATTGTGCCAAAAGGGGCCTTTGACTTGATCTTCATCGACGCAGACCACCGCTATCAGCATGTAAAGCACGACTTGGAACACGTGAGCCAACGACACGCATGAAACACGGGTTCTCATTTTGACCTGACATCTCTCTCCTCCCCTCCCCCACCCACATGTGTCTCTGCCCTTCAGTGGTCAGAGAAGGTTCGTCCGCAGGGCATCTTAGCAGGTCATGACTTCAGCCCCGAGTGGCCTGGCCCCGTGCAGGCAGTCTTTGAGCTGCGGAAGAGCAAACCCGTCAACTTAGGCATGTCAAGTGTTTTTTACTGGTGGGAGAGATATGGGCTGGGATGCATATCTGGTTGTGTATATGTCTCTCTGAATTCTCTTCTTCTTGATGGATGCAGGTATGTTGGTGTGGACGACGATTAACTCGAGTGACACACACACATGTCCGTATGCGAAATGAAGAGCGTGGTAGCCAGGACGGCTGCCGCTTGACGGAAAAAGCTTTAGGCGACATGCGATGATGAGTCAGTCAGTCAGTCCATGTACAAAAATGGCACATGCACATGCTCGACCCACCGTGCAGCACACATGCATCCACTCGATGTCCGTCCTCCTCGCAGCCATAGAGTGCGATCGTCACCGCACATCAGCCACCCTTTCCTCTCTGTGACGCTCCCGTCGTATCAGCTCCTTCTCTACTGCTGGCTAGTCCCTCACTGCCTCGACCTCCTTGTGCTGCCGTCTTGTTGGTGCGTCGGGCAGGCTAATGCTCGCCGTCTCGCGGTGTCTTCTGTGCCGTCTTCGCCGTCTGAAACGCCGTCTGCCGGCTATAAGGGACCTCGGATGCGCCACAGCCAGACAATCAGCGCCGCTAAAGCCTGCATGTGGGTAGACAGACAGTTGAGGGAGAGAGGGAAGGTCAAATGATAGGAGCAGGCAATCTGCGTCACCTGCGTAGCAATTGCATCTGCGTGTGTGGGTGTCGCAGTCGCCATTGCCGCCACACGCGGCGTTGTCGTTGCCTGGGCACACACCGCCCTTGCTGATGGGCGTACGTGGGTCGATCTCCGCCACTAGTGATGCATCGGATGTGTCACAGGCCGCCCCCTGCCACCCACTACCGCACAGACACGCCCCGTTGACGCACAGACCATGGCCATTGCAGTTGTCGCGACACTCCGGCAGCTGGATGTCGCAAGCCACACCTACCGAGTACAAGAATAATTGGGTGTCTGTCTGCAGACCGTTTGACAGAGTCTGTCCGTTCTTCCACTGACCTGTGAAGCCTTCATCGCACTGGCACTGATTGGTGTGGACATCGCAGCGGCCATGAGTGCCGCAGCCGACCCCACCGCCGCAGGCAGCCGATATTGAGAGCACTGCAGGGGTGGTGGCGGACGGGGTGGGCTCTTGTCGCTGCTGGCACTCATCACCCGTCCACCCTTCGTCGCACACACACGTGCCTGGGTCGTCGCATGTGCCGTGTCCGCTGCAGCAGAAGCTGGTCGAACAGTCGATGCCCTTCCAGCCGGCGAAACACAGACACGCACCCTGAACCAACACAGAAAGAGAGGCATATGATCCATGGTTTATTATGTGTGTGTAGTCGATGGCCTGACCTCGACACAGTCTCCGTTGTGTGAGCATTCGTTCGGACAGGCGTGCTCGCACAAATGGCCACTGCAACCAAAGCGAGAGAGACAAAGGGAAATGCAGACAGGTGGGAATGGCATCGTGTACACCCTGCACCTGTACCTGTATCCTGGATCGCAGTCGCACACGCCGTCGCGACACTTGCCGTGTCCGTTGCAGTCATCGTCACACGACTTCTCGGGGTTTGTCCTCAGCGTCCACATGGACGACCGCGAGTCTTGCATCAGGCTGGACAGAGGGTGCATCTGCAGCGACGACGTCTGGTACTGCCCGTTCTCCACCGAGCAGTCCACCCCGCCCCATCCGTCCTCACACGCACAGCTGCCCTCGTTGCAGACCCCCCTCCCATTGCACTCGACCGATGACACGCCTACGGGCGGGCATCGTTTGTCGGCGCATGAGGGGCCCTTCCACTCCAGCTGGCAGGTGCACAGGCCGCCCTCACACGTGCCGTGGTCGCCATTGCAGCCGTCCAGACATGCGTCGGGGGATGCTGTGGCCGTGGATGGGAATGTGGCGAAGGAGGACTGGTCTGCGTCGGATGGTTGCAGCAGCTGGGCATGCACTCGTGTCTCGCAGTGTGGGCCGGAGAACCCCGCCACGCATATGCAGCCCATCTCCTCGCACACACCGTTCACGCCACAGTCGCCATCAGTAGCACATGCGGCACCAGCCGACGTCGCCATGTCCCTGCCCGCCAATGGCCGCCCCGTGTCGACCTCGTCGTGTGTTGTGAGAGCCGCCCGCGGACCGTTGCGAGGGAGGGATGGGGGGGATGAGTCGCCTTGCTGCCTTCCCTCCAAACTGTCGAGGCGATGCAGAAGCATCTTCACTCTAGACTCGAGCTGGCCCAGCTTGGTGCCGCCGCCACCCTTCGGTTGGAGGTCCCGCAGCTTGCCCAGCAGCCGAATCGCCTCAGCTTTGTCGTCCCTCTTGGTGTGCGGTGTCGTGACCGTCTGGGGTGCTGGCTTGCCGACAAAGGTTGCGAGATCCTCGGGAGTGTCGTCATTGCTGTTGCCTTCAGGGGCTGCTGGCTCGGCTGCTGCGGGGGACAACTGCTGCACGATGCCTCTCAGACGTGTGACCAGGGAGGGGTCAATGCGTAAGGCAGATCCGCGTGGTGCTGTGAGGGCCTGCAAGAGCTGCTTGCTGTAGAAGGCAGCGTCGGGTGAGCTGAGTGAAGAGTCCGTGGGCAGGTACTGGCTGGCATCGCCCCCAGCATCAGATGGATCGCTCAGAGGGCTTCTCATATCGACATCCTCGTCAGCAGCTGGCGGCACGGCATCCTTCACAAAGAGATACTGCAAAAGGAAGAGAGACCCATGAGCAACACACTCTATTCTTTCTTACATCATGGCTCACCGGGCTGTACACTTGCTGATTGCACGTTTCTCCGCCCCAGCCATTGTGACAGTGGCATTGCCCGGCCTCGCATATGCCATGACCTGCAGGCACGAGCAACGACACGACACGACGTGTGGAGAGGCACTCGGCTGCTCGTCAATCACCGTATGCAAAGATCCTTGCCTGAGCAGTCCGTCGGGCATAGCTCTTGAATGAAGCAGGTAGCCCCGGTCCACCCAGCGCCGCACACACACTTACCTGACACACAGGGGCGTGGACAATACCATGGGAAATGGTACTGTCGTCTGCTGCTGGTGCCACGTACCGTCTACACATTGTCCATTGGGAGCGTTGCAGTCGTCTGGGCAAGGCTGCGGTACATTGCATACGTCGCCAGTCCACCCGCCCTCGCACTCACACATCTCGACTCCACCACTGTGGGTGCACCGCCCGTGGCCGGAGCATGCCCTCAGGCACCGATACCCATACCTATTGTCGTCCACCAGTTCCCCGCCCCTCTCCTCCCCCGTTGCATGCTGGACGGCAGAGGCACCCAGCGATATATCATCCTCATCCTGTGTCGGCACAACAGACAGGAACAGCCTATCAGGCAGGGACCGCAATGTTTGTCGTGTGGACGTTGCACACCTGTGCCAGCAGTCGGAAGCTGCAGTCGGGCCCCGCCCATTGGCCGTGGCAGACGCAGAAGCCGTTGATGCACCGGCCATGGGACGAGCAGCCGTGGGCGCAGGAAATGACGGACGCAGCTGCGTGGCTGGACACCTGGACCAGCGAGGGATGAAAGCCGTCATCGGCTCTCAAGATACCTGACGCAAACACCCATGGGACGGGAGATGCTCCAAATGGAACCAAACACTTACCATTCGTCTTGTTTGTGGCTGCATCTGCCGCCCGTACACCGCCAACGGCACCCACAAGAATCGACAAGAGGAACCAGAGGATGCTCGTGGCTTTCATGATGGCAATTCTCCATCCTCTGACGCCCTCATGCCCCTGGGGACTCCTTCCAAAGAGTGAATTTACGTGAGTGGATCGCGGGTGACAGATCGTGTGCTGTTGACGGTTCATGACGTGATAGTACGCTGTAGCTGATGGCGGCCGCAAAGGAGCGGGAAGACGTTGAAGTGCGGGTGGACATCGTACCTGATGGCGGTGGCGTAGAGGAGGGTGCCGGAGGGATTGATGATGAAGATGCCCTCCGCTCGCTGTTTGAGGCCTCCAATGGCGTCTATTGGGCAGCACAGGAGGATGACGCGAGCCTCCTGCTGCCCATTATGGTCGTCAAGTACGACACACCGTCCTCTTTCTCTGGTCTCCGCCCCCCCGACTCATCCGAGATGGAGAAGGGAGCCTTCGGATACGGCATCTACTCGTTCCATCAGGAGAAATAGTAGGCCAAACACGGTGCAATGCAATCTGCAATCCTCTCCACATGTGGTGCATGGATTTGCTCAGCGAGGATCCGAGGTTCTTCCGTCTGTCGTCGTGTAGAGACTTTGCCGAGGGGTATGACGCCTTGAGCGGCCAATACGTGCAGGTATGTATGGTGCACACATGCACATACGCCGTACACAAACACCAGTGTGCCCTTGAGTTTGCTTCAACGCAGAGCCCCAAGCTTGCCTCTTCCCAGTCCGAGCGCCAGGCGCTGCTGTGCGAGGTGCAGGCCCGTCGGCAGGGAGTGGTGATCAGCCGCGGCGTCTCACCACCCGCCGAGCAGGAGGGGGATGGCGAGAGGGCCGAGGGTGGCGGCGATGACGACGATCCGATGGATGTCGACCTGGGGGGCGGGCAGGATGGCGACGATCCAGGTGACGAGGACTTCGAGGCCGACGATGACGAGGATGATGACCTCGAGGAGCGCGAGGAAGACGATGTCGAGAGGCGGAAGAGGTGGGGCAACGGACAATGATGTGTATGGCTGACAGGCAGCCGTTGATGTGTTTCTCCGTGTTCAGCGACCGTCTGCAGAAGAAGCGCGAGCAGCAGCGGATAGCGGATAGTGAGTCCAACATGCAGTCGGCAGGGAAATCGCAGGCCAGTGGGCGGTACCGGCTCCGCAGTCAGAGGCCCGCCCCTGCCCCCGACCACGACTCCCTGGACTCGCGCAAGCCGCCCACCAAGCGCAAGAACCCCTCGCGTGCTGCCCGCAAGGGCGGCCGCAGGAACATGCGGCGGGGCACTGATCCAGATGACGATGAGGTGGGTCCATCTGATGCACAGGGAGAGGGGATGGCATTCATTGTGTCTGTGTGTGACGGTATGTGTGTGGTCATGCAGGCGTGGGAGGCCGACGGTGACGAGGATGAGGAGGACGGGGCTGACGAGGGTGCGTACGTGGGTCGGTCGCGGGGCGGGCGGTCCAGGGGGGCCAAACCCAAGAAGGAAGACGATGACAATGAGTTTGAGGTGCAGGTGAGGGCACACGCGCACAAACCCCCAGCAACCCCGCCGCACACACACAAAGGGTGGAGCCCGTTGGTCTGTTGGTCTAACACGTCTGTATATGTATGTATGCAGGATATCTTGAGTTGCAAGCGCCAGGCCGACGGCTCGTATCGCTGGGAAGTCCAATGGGTGGGTAGGAGAAACAACCGGCTAACCAGCCAGCCACTCAGCACCTCCGCTCCCACATGTCCGTCCGCTTATCCATCCGCCTTGGCTGTGTGTGTGTTGGCCGTACACAGGTCAACGGCGACGTCACATTTGAGCGTCGGGAGAACATGTGCCACCCCAATTTGAAGCGTCAATGTGACAAACTCCGAGATGACCTTCGCAGACGAGAGGCCGATGAGGCGGTATACAGTCAAACACCACACATACACGTCATGGCATACGGACACCTGGATAAACAATGTGTCTCTTTGCACTGTGCTGGGTGTTGCAGAAGGGCCACCCCGCGGCCTCCTGCGACCCCCAGGACTTCAAAGTGGTCGAAGGATTCTCAATCAAGGCACGCACACGGAAACAACACCCACTGATCACGCACACGGAAACAACACCCACTGATGGCTTCGCACTCTCCATCTCTTCGCCCGTGATGGATGCCCCTTTCTCTGTCTGTGTCTGTGTGCAGGCTTGGCGGCTGCCTGGCGGTGCGCAGGAGATCACGGAGGGCGTAAGGCCCGAGTATCTTCTGCTGCAGAAGGGCAGATCGTACCGGTAAGCGCGTTTCCGTGTGGATTTGCACACAGCACTGAGTGAGGTCTTGTTTGCATATGTCTGTGTGTGGTGGTGATATGGGTCGCTCAGTGAGGTCGAGTGGGTCGGCGAGGAGGATCTGCTCAAGTGGTCGACCACGAACAACCCCCAGAGCAGCGCATACGCAAAGGCACACCTGACGGCGTGGAAGAAAAAGGACATCCCCTTCGGCCTGGACCGTACGGACACACAGACACGCACAAGGGCACGGACGGACTCGCCTGCTCATTCGCTTCTCGCCTGTGTTGGTGTGTGCGTGTGGATGTGCAGCCCAGCAGGAGACGGAGATGGAGTTGTTTCGGCAAATCGACACCATCATCTGCTGCAGACGCTCACTGGTACGGTTACGGTCATTGCGGGGCTCTCTTTCTTTTGCACTCACAATGTGGTCATGTCATACCTCCTCCGTCTTCTTTTCTGCAGCATGATCCCGACAGCAAGGAGTACTTCGTCAAGGTGAGATCGGCAGGAAAACGACGTTCCATTGATAAGACGATGGGTCGACTGTGTCGATTATGCTCTCCTCTCTACGTGTATTGTGCAGTGGCGTCACCTCTCCGTGTCGAATGCCACCTGGGTGAGCGAGTGCAATATCCAAATAGATGTTTGTGGGTGGGTATGCCTGGCACATGTCGGGGTGTGCATCAGGAGGACCTCTCGGCCCTGACGTCGCCCGAGGACCAAGAGGCCATCGACAGGTACAGAACCAGCCACAGGGAGGGAGAAAGGGAGGGAGAGAGGGATGCCATGACTATACCTTCATTTCTTTCTGTTTTGTGTCAGGTTTGAGTTTCATAATGATCACAGGAGGGCGGGCTCCTTCGAGCAGTTCCTCGAGCGGCGGGGCATCAGCAGGTCGGACAGGCCGCACGCACGCACACAAAGAATGCCACACAGTACACACATGCCCACTGGCGTCCATACGTGTCTCTTTGTTTCTATGTCGGGCAGGTCCGACTATGACCGACTGACGCAGTGCAACACCCAGGCCATCCGGCAGCGGCTCGCGGAGCTGCAGGAGGCCATCAACAACCCACAGCCGACCGAGGGAGCAGCAGCAGCAGCAGCAGCATCGGGTGCGGCGATGGACATAGACGATCCCCCTGTGGATGGGGAGCAAGGCACGGATGGTTCAGGAGGGGCAGGCCCTGCTGCCGCGGCGGCCGCGGCTGCAGCAGCAGGGGTGGACGGTGGCGAGGGCAGTAGCAGTAGTGGTAATGGTGGCGGTGGTGACGGTGAGAAGGAGCTGACCGCAGAGGAGGAGGAGGCGTCGAAGCTGCAGGACATTGAGACGATACTCACCAGCGACGACAAGGAGAAGGCCAGCGCATACTGGACGGTCAGGCAAATGCATCGACAGACAGACAGACAGACAGACGTACAGATGGCAGGAAGCCACCCACTGCATACGCATGCACATGTGTGTGCTGTTTGCCGCAGGGGTGCAAGCGCCTCATTCTGCCCGACGGCACCTACCTCCCATCACTGGTGCGGTTCAACACATACATATACAGAGAGGGAATGAAGGAGCCGTACGTGTGGGTGTACGGGCGCTGTCTGTTGTCCTTCAGTACGATTGGCGGAGTCAGGGGCTGCTGGATCCCTCCTCGGCGACCGACGGAGAGGATGATCGTGTCAGCGCCCGACACAAGCGGTTGTTCCCACACCAGTTGGAAGGCATCCAATTGATTCTCTACAACGCATCGTCGGTAAGCCAAGGACACACAGGCTGATGCGATGCATTCATTCATTCAAAGGAGGGAGGAAATCATGTCCGTCCGTCTGTATGCGTGGATGTTGTGTGCAGGGGCGGGGCACCATCCTTGGAGACGAGATGGTCGACACAGGACCGCCTCCTTCTGTGTCCTTATGCGTCTATGTGTGTGTCAGGGTCTCGGCAAGACAGCCCAGAGCATCGTTGCGTTGGAGCAGATTCTGCATGCGGCACGCCAGCCGCCCTCCCGCGGCCGTGGCAACGCTGCAGCCGCCCGCAAGCTGCGCGCCGCCCACGCCCTGGTGGTGGTGCCGCTGGCCACGCTCGAGAACTGGCGTCGCGAGTTCGATATGTGGGCCCCGCACCTCATGGTCCTTTCACTCAGGGGTACGTGAGTCGATATTCAGTGTCAAGGGCAGGTGTGGGTGCATGTGGCTTCGTGTGTGTGTGTGCCAGATAACAGAGAGGATCGCAGGGTGCTGCACGAGGTGGCGATGCAGTGGGTGGAGCCCAACACCGGGGAGGCGATCGACGTGAGCCAGCGGGAGGAGAAAGGCGGCAAGGTCATGAAGCCTGACGTCATTCTGACCACATATGAGACACTTGCCATGAAGGACGTCAAGCCCTACCTCCGCCACCCGCTCTACGCTGAGACGCAGATCCCCTTCGCCATCACCGTGCTCGACGAAGTGCAAAAAGTCAAGGTCGGCACACAAACAAGAGAGGAACAGTGCGCATGAGAACATGTGTGTGGATGTCGTGTCGTCTTGTCTTGCAGCAAGGGCGGGGCTCACAGCGATTTGATGTTATGTACGGCAACATCGAGACGGACCTCACCCTCTGCCTCACAGGCACGCCGACACACATACACACACACCCATGCACATCACTTACCTGACCATGCTGTTCTGCATGCCATCCTGCAGGCACCCCGATCCAGAATGAGGTCAAGGAGGTGTATCCGCTGCTGGCCCTCTGCGACCCTTCCCGCTTCATATACGGCAAGGCCTCACACGAGCCATTCGGGTCACACATGAAAGACGACACATCCCAACCGCCACCAGCATCAGCAGCAGCAGCAGCATCAGGCGAGGGTGACAGCCAGGCGGACAACGAGACGCCAGCTGAGGAGACCCAGACACAGCAGAGGGAGTCTGCCGGTGGCGATGAGGGCGAGGGTGATGGTGGTGGAGGTGCAGGTGGTGGTGGTGGGAAGTGGCCCGAGTGGCTGTCGGGCGAGACCCCCAAGGAGCGGCAGGAGCGACTGCGGCAGGCCGAACAGCAGGACGCTGTCGTGCAGCAGATGATCGATTCCAACGCTCGATGGTAAGCGCCGACAAACAGACACCACACCGCACATGGGCATTGATTGCATCGGTACATGTGAAATGGCCCCATCCGATGATCCATTTCAGGACACATGATGAGTTTGAGGCGCACTTCGGCGGCAGGAGGGAGGAGTCTGCCGCCAAGCAGCTGTCGCTATACCCGTAAGCAAACCTCCGTCCAAGCCACGTCCCTTCGTGTGCATCTGTCTCTCTCCGTATGTGTGTGTGTGATGTGTCGATCAGGCACCGGAGCAAGCAGATCATGCAGATCCTGCAGCCATACCTACTCAGGCGGTACGCACACACACAGCACGCGTGACAAATGTCGATCCGTCTTCTTTGATTCGTGGAATGCAATGCGATTGGGTGTGGCCATTATCACTCAAAAAAGTGAGAAGGGCGATGTGCTCAAGAAGCTCAAACCCAAGCAGGTGAGTGACCGAGCTGCTTCGTTTGCATTCGTGTGTCCGGTCATTCTGTGCTGTGTTTTGTCTAGGTGAAGTTCGTCCAGCTGGAGCCCACCCCTCTGCAGACCAAGATCGAGGGCGCCATCTTCCTTGGGTGGGCAAATACATATCTTAAGAGAGAGAAGAATCCAGGGGGGGAAGGAACACACTCACTCACTCACGAGAGTGTATGTGTGTGGATGCAATGGATGGATGGATGGATGCAGTCACGGTCCCTTCAAGGACAAGTCGATGAGGAGGATGTTCCTGCTGCGTTACAACTGCAACCACCCACTGCTGCTCACTGACCAGAACCCACGGAAACAGGTATCAATGGATCGATGCTCACTTCCCTCCCGCCCCGCACCGCCCTCACACGTACTCTCATCCGTCGGATGTTCGTGCACCCTCCGTCCTTGCCGGCCTGCATCGATTCATCAGGGCAAGCGTGAGATCAAGGAGAAGTGGCTGTATGAGTCCCATGAGGACTGCAAGCGCCGGCCCGGCGAGAAGTACGAGGACCACAGGTGGGTACCCTACGCCCAGCATCCATGAAGGAACTTGCCGCTCCTTGGTGTGTGTATGTGTGTGTACTGACTGCATTTGTATGTGGTATGTCTTGACAACGCAGGCTCCGGCTGTTAGACACGTGTAGCACCAAGTTTGTCTTCCTGGCCAAGCTGTTCCCGAAGCTCATAGCCGAGAACCGCAAGATCCTGGTCTTCACAGAGTTCCTCAACGTAGGTATCCCATCCCATCCCATACACACGTGGATGGATGGATGCACCACCGAAGGGAGAATGGGTGTGTACTCTTGATGTGTGTATCCATCAGACGTGTGATCTGTTGGAGGAGTGGTTCCTCCGGCACGAGTGGCCGTACGAGCGGCTCGACGGCTCTGTCACAGACGACAGACAACTCAGGATCGACCGGTACTTATCCCCCTCACACATACACACATATACACACACATGCGTACCTACGTGCCCCTCTGCTCTGTGTGCGCGCCAGGTTCAACGTGTTCCACGGGTTTTGCATCTTCCTATCGACGACGAGGGCGGGGGGGCAGGGCATCAACCTGACCTCAGCCACGTGTGTGGTGCACTTCGACCCCCAGTTCAACCCGCAGCAGGACATGCAGGCACAGGCACGCTGCCACCGTATCGGGCAGAAGAACACCGTGGAGGTCTTCACACTGTGCATGAAGGGCGGCGCTAACATGGTAATAAGGTGGCCGGCCACACGCACACACACGGGGACATGGCGAGAAGCTGACAGAATGATGTGTGTGGTTGGTTTGTCTGTGTGTGCCATGTCATGTCAGCCTTCGTTTGAGGAGCGGATTATCTACAAGATGCAGAGCCGCAAGTTGGGTTTGGAGAAGGTCATCATGGAGGGCGACGAAGCAGGCTTCACGGCACAGGAGCAGCAGAAGCTCCTCGACGAGGGCCTCTACGCCCTCATGCACGAGAAGAAACAGGAGCAGGAGGCACAGGAAGAGCGGCTCAAACAGTTTCACCAGGTGGGGTGGGTACCCGGGGTCGATAGCCAGACACACCTCAACGGGCGGGCGGCTGGGATGTATCCATTCCATGTGCCTACGTCTTTCTCTGTGTCTCTGTGTGTGTGCGTGTGTGTCTGTGCTGCAGGCTAGCATCGAGGACATCATTGTCAACAGCTCCAAGACCATCACACTCAGGGAGAAGAAGACGGGCGGACAGACATACTTCAGCACGGTACGCTACCATTTCCCACAGGCCACTGATTCATTCATGTGTGTGTGTGTCTTTGTGTGTGTGTCTGTCTGTGTGTCAGGCCCACTTCATGCCCAACCCTGCTGGTGGCGATCGAGGTGTCCGTGAGAACATGCCGGATGAGGTGAGGGACCTGCTGCTCAGGCGGGGCGGCGCCAAGAAGGACCAGGCCTGGAAGAACCGGGCAGCTCAGGTCCTCGGCCTGCGACCCGAGGAGGCACCCAAGTCACTGAAAAGGTACACATGCCATCCAGAAGACAGGAGGGCTCCTAGAGTACTGTGTATTTGGCTGTGTGCAGGCAGGACCGCCGCGCTCGTTTGGCCAAGTCCCGTTTGGAGCGCGAGGAGGCGGAGAGGGTGCGGCTGTCGGGTGGGAGTCGGCCGTCCAAGCCGATGACCGACGATGAACAGGAAGACAAGAGCGATGATGATGATAACTATGTAAGCATCCACCTGTCTGGGAAAGGGGCGGTGTCCATCCTGACGTTTCGTGTGTGGATGTTTGTGTGTGTGTGTGTGTGTGCAGAGGGAGGATGAGACGGACGAGGATGACGACGACGATGATGAGGACAGTGAGGGCGAGGGCAAGCTCAGGCCGCGCAAGAAGAGAGCCAAGATGGCCGCTGCCGCTGCGGCCTCCGTTGCTGGGGCTGGTGGGGCCGCGGTCGACCTGACAGGCGACCTCGATCGCCAGACCATCATCCGAGTCCTCTGCAGATTCCTCAAGTATGCGTGTACAGACCTGCACAACACATTGGACTCAAATGACCGCTGTATTTGCGCAGCTTTGTCAAGCTAGTGCTGCCATCGGAGCCAGGCCTGCAAGCCAAGCAGGAGGACACCGAGGTATCCACTGCATCCCTCACAGCCAGCAAGCCAACAGCACCAGCGGGGGAAGAACGGAAAGTAGGATTGTCGTATGTGTGTGTGCGTGTGTGTGTGTGACAGGGTGGCCGTCTGCGGCTGTGTGGGTTTCCTGACAGCAGTGACATCTGCAACCTGGGGGCCAACAAAGAGGACCAGCTGGAGGCCCTCGTCATCCAGTGCAGCCGCGACGCCGACCAGCAATTCCACGCCGAGATGCAGACCCCTCTGGGGCAGCACACACAGGGCCGCAGCCTGTTCGTGCAACTCATCCGCAATGCATTCCCAGGTACCCACAAAGACCACACAGGTGCCCGCCTCTGCCTGCGGAACTGTCGGACATTTGTGCTGACGTATGTGCGTCCGTGTAGGGTGTCTCCGGTTCACGCTGCCTGATGACGGCGAGCCGGTGGCTCCGCGGTATGCTGGCGGTGCTAGCGTGATGGAGAAGCTGGCGGTGCTGCTGTCGGAGGTGGCCGACCCCGATGACGAGAGGAAGCGTACACCGAACCAGCTGCGGCTCCTCACTGTTGACCCACTCGCCCTCAAGTAGGGCGGGACACACAGACGGACGCAGATCAGATGGATCAACACTTGGGCCTGGGCATACCTGTCTGTCTGTCTGTCTGTCCGTCTGTGTGTCAGCCGTCCGTTTGGTGGTCGTCGCACGGACACGCTGCAGATGTTGTTGGTCAAGTTTCTGGTGTACCACTGGAACCTACACCGTAGACGCTCAGCGGTACGTATGAGTGGCAGCGCAGCATACCTGAATAGCGGAGAGGTGGTTAGCACAGCACAGCACGCCTCTCCTCTCCTGTGTGTGTTGTGCGGTGCGGTGTTTGCCACCCAGACGTCTGATGTGCGTTGGGAGTCTTGTATGGAGGACCAGAGTGCCGCATGGGGCAAGATACTCAAGGTGAGACAGACGCTTGGCTTGATATGGCTGGGCGTGGCGTGGATTGGGCTGTCGACTCGACACCCACACTTGAATGGCATGGCCGTGTGTGTGTGTGTGTGGTATGGATGCGTGCACTGCAGGTGGTCAAGGAGTTCTATCGGATGACGAGATACGGCAGGATCATGTCCAAAGCACAGGACATCAAAGCCCTGTACACACACACACGCACACACACATAGACAAGCCCAGCAACACAACCAATGGCCTGCCACGCGCATTTCTTGAGACCTCTCATTTCCAGGTACTTCAACTGGGTGGACTGGCGTTTCGATCACAGTAGCGACTTCAGCTTGGCGGAACTCAGCACGATCAAGCGCGTCCTTCCTGACAAGGTACGTGCACACCGACCACCCCTCTCTACACCGTCTCCTATATGTCATGTGTGCGTGGATGTTGCAGGACTACCTCCGCGATTGTCGCAGTGAGCAGGTGCACAAGGTGGCCAAGGACATCATCCACCACTTCCCCGGCCGCACACTGCGGCATGTGGCTGACCAGCTGGGCACCCTGCGAAGCCAGCTCAGGCGCGAACAGATCAACCGAGAACTCGAAGCTGGGCGACCCCCCGACGACCACCGACAGCCACAGGTGGGTGGGGCGGGTGATATGGATACACACAGCACACGAAAGGGCATACAAAGATACACCTGCCCAACCAACCCGCACGTCATGTGTGTGGGTGTCGGCCGACAGGCGTATGATCGAGAGGCCGAGCGGGAGGCCGAGCGGCTGCGGTGTCTTGCGCAACTCAAACAGCAGGCCGGACAACACCAGCTGCCCAAACTAGCACCACCAGCACCACCACCAGCACCACCACCAGCAGCTGCTGCTGCTGCTGCTGCTGCTGTTTCTGGTGGTGTGGCGCCTTCGATAGTGGCAGGTGGGCCTGCGGGTCGGTCTGATGGCCGCGCCGCACACTTGTGCAGGAAGCTGCAGACCAAAATAGAGCAGTTCCTCAAGAAGGTCTAGTTCCGCGCACAGTGGCGGGTTGGATTTAGCTGCACTGCATAGGGGACACTTCTCTATGCACGGTTGATGAAACGGATGAAAGGTTGTCACGTACCCGCCGAAACCGATGGCACACACGACGAATGGATGAATTGCTTTGCTTTCTGCGCTCTCCACAGCAGTGGCACGTCATTGGCTACCCTCTGACGGTCTCAGAATCCATAGTATGCCCCGTTTCCCCTCGGTCACTTGCGAGCTTCAGATCGGTGCGATCAGCGGCAAGTCGTGATGACGCCCAGCCTTCTGGGAAGTGCTGCAAATCGCTTTTCTGTGAAGATCTTGCCGTCATCGCCTTCGTCTTGCTTCTCCCCCGCCCATCGCCGCAGCTTCGCCCAGCTGCGCAATACCAAGGCTCTCATTCAGTATGCGAACCGCATCCCCAAGGCAGAGCTGCATGTGCACGTCGAGGGCACACTCTATCCGTCGCTGCTGCACCGGTTCGCGAACCGCAATGGCATCCCAACATCGGCGCTCCAGCACAAGGACCCTCAGACAGAGTACGAGTTTGAGGGCTACTCGGGCTTCATCGACCTCTACTCGAGCAACTGCCAAGTGCTCGTCAACGAACCCGACTTCTATGAACTGACGGTACACACACACACACACACACAGAGAGAGAGAGAGAGGGAACGGTTGGTCTGAATCCCATTATGTTGTGTGGTGTGGTGTGGTGTCTGCACGATGACAGCGGGATTACTTCGTCCGTGCGAGGCAGCAGGGGATCCGCCACGCAGAGGTCTTCTGCGACCCGCAGCTGCACACCAGGAGAGGAGTGCCCATCAGCACCATCATCAACGGTACGTACACACCACACAGACAACGAATGCGGCCCAAAACCCGTCTATCTATCTACCCACGCCCACATGTCTGCATGTCATGTCTGCATGTCTGGTTGGCTGACGCTGCCTGCAGGCATATGCAATGCGATGGACACGGCTGAGACCGAGATGGGCGTGAGTGGCAAACTCATCCTGTGCTACTTTGAGGATGGTGGGCCGCACGGCCACCGGAGGAAGGGCGAGATGGACCCGATTGAGGAGCTGCGCAGCGTCCAGGAGGACCCCAACATCAAGAAGGACCGGCTGGCGGGAATCGGTGGCTACTCTTACGACCCAAATGCCCCTTACAAACAACTCAAGCCTGGTCAGTCGACGTCAAGTGACGCCAGAGGAAACGACGCGCAGCGTGTATTCCCTCACTGATTGATCCATCCCTCCTTTGTGTGTGTCTTCAGTGTACGAGTACGCTCGGTCTGTGGGCCTCAAAACGGTCGTACACGCCGGTACCCACACACTCACGCGCTGCGCAGACGTATCCCCTGTGATGTGTGCTGCGCATGCAGGTGAGTATGGCCCTGCCAGTAGTGTGCGGGAGGCGATCAAGACCCTGCGAGTGGATAGAGTGGATCACGGCGTCCGGTCAGCAGAAGACCTGACCGTGCTCCGCCTCGTCGAGCGCACCAAGACTCCACTCACCGTGTACGTAGGCTGCCTGCCTGCCACCACAGAAAGGAAAGGACAGACCGCCCTCTGCCACCCTCCTTCATTTCATTCGTCCATATATCGATCCATCCACCGTGCAGGTGCCCGTTGAGCAATGTACGTCTGGGTTTCTACGAGAGTCTCCAGAAGCACCCGCTGCGGATGCTCATGCAGGGGGGTTGTTTGCTGACTCTCAACTCTGACGACCCCGCCTACATCGGTGCGTCCCTGAGCGACAATTTCCGGTCCTGCATCGAGCAGCTGCACCTGTCGCGGGGCGAGATCAAGACTTTGGCTATCAACTCTGTGGATGTCAGCTTCGCATCAGATGCTAGAAAGGAGGCAATCAGGTGCGTGAATGGGTGGGTGAAAGGGCCGCGCGTGGCCTGCCTGGCAAAAGGCGATGGGTCGTCTGTGCTGTGTCTCTGTCGGTGTGCAGGCAGGAGATCGAGAAGTACGATTCCTCGTTCAACATGAATTTGTAGCGCCGATCGGCGGCGACCAGACAGAAATGACTGCACTCGTAGGACGGAGCGAGATGTGCACCCATGTGTAGGTAGCCAGCCGGTGTGTCCAGGCATTTTTCGGCCGCTGGCTCTTCCGTGTGTGTATGTGTGAATGTAGGTGTGTGTGTTTGTACAGTCGGTCGTCGTTTCTGTGTACCATATGTATACGTCCATATGTCGTCCGTGCGTAGCATAGCATCGCATCGCCTCATGGAAGGGGAGCGATCTCTCTGATTTCTGATGTCTTGTGTCAGTTAAGCCATGTGGGGCAAGTTGTATGACGGTTAAGGAAGGACGTGTCTGTCGTTGGCGTGGGAGGGACACTGCATAGGATGTTTGTGTGTTAAAGCACCCATGGTGTCAATCAAGTACCCCCACTGCCAAGTTGAGCGTGCCACTCAACGGGTCTGTCACACTAACCACCGAGCCACATAGAATGGAAAGTGCAAACATAACTGGCCGATATAAAATGTAGGCAGCAATAGAGGGAAGGCTCTCGCCGACCCTATCCTCCATCTGCATCAATTGCTCGTCCACGGTGACGAGGCCCTGCGGCAGCCGCTCCATGCGCTCCTCAGGCATGGGCCTCACGCAGTCCACCACCAGCTCACGCATCATAACTCCCACCTCTCTCCCCCACTCCATGCACGTTTCTCTCCGCTGGAACAGCGAAGGGGGCTTCAGTGCTGCCGACGCGCTCGACTGAGCGGGAGGCGGGATGACGTCCTGGAGCCGATCGGCCCAGCTTAGGCTGTTCTCGATGGCCATTCGGACTGAAAGAGAAGACACCACACCACACAAGACAAGCCCAGACCACACACAACATGACAGCAGCCGACACATACACATGACATTCATCCCCCACGTGTGTTTGTGAGTATTGGTCTTACCATATTCTTCACCCTCAGATGCGAACGAATGTGCTGCGTGGAGATTCTTGATGAGTCCGCCGATATAAAATGTAGACAGCAATTGGCCGACAAACGGCCTCGATCCCTCTCCTGCAAATGACGCAGCCGCTCTCCCAACCGTCGACAGACACGAACTCGACTACCACACTTTTTAACCACATGTACTTGGTGGTCAGTGGATGGTCATCGGCTCATTCTCTAGTGGCGCGCAGAGGGTATCCTGTAGCCCGTGTAGCTTCTGGTGCATGACGGTGCACTTGTCTGCCCCCAAGGCCTCGTACGCCTTGCGCGCCAGTCGCCAGAGCACGGCGAGCACCCCCATTGCGCCCACCTGCACCGCCGACAAACGTGAAAGAGCGGCAGGGGAGGCGGCGGTGTGGTGTCGTGTTGGTATTGGCGCTGGTGGTGATGCTGATGTGCCTGCTGACCTTGAGCCGGTTTGCTTTGCCAATGATGACATTTTTGTCGAGGATGAACGGAACGAACTTCTCTGCCAGGTCGTCCCACATCTGCGAGTCCAACACCAGCTCATCCGACACACTACCATCTTGAACACACACATATCGCTGTCGACCTCCTGCGTGAAGAACAGCAGAGAGACATGAGGAAGGCCATGAGCAATGAGACGTCATAATGCCATAAGTGTGTTCCTCTCCCATACGCATACCTGCACTCTGCCGGCCTTCAGCTGCTACTGTAACTGTGGTAAATGGTCCTCATAAGCCGAACAAATATAAAATGTAGGCACCGATGATGTCGACCTCCTGACTTGCCTCCAGCTCGTCGACCTTGGCCTCATCAGTGAGGCCGCACATGGTGTCCCAGCCGTCCCGGGTCACCATGGCTGCCCCGCTCGCCTGCTCCGCCCTCCTCTTGGCCCGCTGGTCTGCCCATGTCTTGGTCAGCATGACGGAGAACTCGGGCGCGTGGTGGTGGGGGGTGATAGTCCAGACGTTCTCGTCCTCCTGCTGGTCCTCCTTGTCCACGCAGACCAAGATGGGCAGCCTGCCGATGGTGGCGGGCGCTGGGTGGGTGGTCGGCTTGGCGGTGAGGGTGTGGCCTAGGTCAATCATCCGCAGCTGCTCGCATGCGATGCTGCTGGCCTCGTTGGTGATGGTGGGGGCCGGCTGACGTTGCTGCAGCTCCTGCAGATCAGCCGTCGCGGGCGGCTCACGAAGAATGCCCGTCAAATGGTCGACGACAGCCGGGATGCGGTGCAGGATGGGTACCAGGGCGTTGGTGGACACGTTGTCCACGGCCAGCATGCCCAGGAGGAGGTGGCGCAGAGACAAGGGGGCACTCGGGGGATAGTCGGACTGCGCTTTCTTACGCATACCTGCCCTCTGGCGGCCTCCAGCTGCTCACTGCG